TGCGTTCGGCGACTGTTGGCTTGTGCCAATATATCTGACAAATGTTTTATTATCTTTTCTGGAAAATTGGATACACAGTCGAAGCCCTATACTAACGAACACCTCTCTTAAGCGGTAATTAGGGGCACATACCTCCAATCCTCATAATTTCTTTAATAAAATACTGTTATCATTTCCCCTATTCAGCGGACAACTCTATTAAGCGGAAGCGTACACTTAACTTGAGGTCTCAATGAGCCGAATAACTTCTCTTGAGCGGACAAACGTAACCGATGAATGTATAAGTATGCTAAATTATATTTTCATAACAAAAATCAATTTGAAGAAAATTCAATAGAGATCATCTTTGTTATTAAAGTTTTGCAGTATCAATGTATAAACGCTAATAACTTGAACAAATCTCCTAAAACAAACTTTTCTCTCTTTAATTTGTCTTTCAAGCAACTGGAAAAAAAACTGTCTCCTCGAAACTTGAACTCACATGGAAGTTCCACACCATAACAAGCCCCTCCGTTGACACGTTTACCTTTGATCACTTCGGCATGTTGTAAAACACGGACTGGGCTGGACTGGGAAAACGCGGACTGTGTCCGTGTTTACAAATGGACTGAAATTTGTAAAATAGGTACGCGACGCGTACATGTATCTGCGAAAAAACTTGATTCACATTTTCATCACTTATTATAATAAATATAATAGCAAGTAAGATTTTAAAGTCAAACATAGTACAAATCTAACAAGGCTGTAGACAGCACAGATGGCAGCAGGGGCAACTCAACCCCCCCCCCCCACCCCCCGAGAAAATTTAACTAATTTTATGTGATTATTATTGTAACTCGGATAATTATGCAGTCAAAAAATAAAAATTTCATGCAAACAATATTCGCAGTGTCTATTTAGTAAACTGTCACTTGTCAATCCATACTTGTCAATCCATACCCATTTTGAAAAACTTTATTGTAATCATATGAAGCAAAAGTTCTGTCACTTGTTGTTTACACTTGCCAATATTAACTGTTGAGTAACATACACAAACTATTCCAGGAACATGCATTAATACTGTAGCAAAGAGTCCATGATATGTCGAAGACCACTGAATAGTAGAGAATGTTTTAAAGGTCATGAATGAAGTATATAATTAAATTCCAATCCTGTGCACAGTTAATGATATACCACACTGTTCGGTTTAACACAGCATATCCACACAAAAACAATTTGTGTTGTGGGAGAATATCGGTTTGAGTAGAAGGTATCACAAGTTCAATTTTGTACATATTGTGTGCCATTGATCTGACCATCCACATAATATATTATTATTGTAGCTGTTAGTTATTACTGCTATTTGCAATTTACCATTAGGTGTGCGATTTTTTTCATGTTTGTTTACGTTTCAAACGTTCAGATTCAGTTGACCAGATAACGTTAACGTTTTGAGCAAGCCAATCAACGTTTCGCGGTGTGTTCAATGAAACTTTGCTATTTAAAGATTGTGGCAAACGTTGATTGGTTTGCTCAAAACGTTAACATTTTCCGGTCAAAACCTGAACGTTTAAAACGTAAACAAACATGAAAAATATTGTATGCCTAATGGTAGCTTGCAAACAGCAGTATCCATACCATTGATACTTATGGTAAGATTGTCTTGCAAGTGGGTTGTTCTGACAAAATTATCAAGCCAATATCCAGTACATTTATTCATCATTCTTGCATTAATCTCTAGACAAAAACATTTATGTTAGAAAGCAAAATAACAATGTAATATTAAAGGAGGGAGGGTGGGGATTCTTTTATTAGCATTTGAAAATGTTTGTAAAAATTTTTGTTTAATTATAAACTCTATTGAATGTGTAAAACCAAAATGTATAAGTATTGTAAACTGATAACATCTTTAATCTCCAACACTACATTTGACGACAGCTTAGTTGGACTGTTGTTTTGAACAGAGTTTATACAGAAATACACGACCAGGATTTAATTCAATATCTCCCGAGACCATTAGTTTCTTTTGGTATTGTTCGTTGACAATAAGCTACAATATTGCCTGCTATGTTTTGACTGTTTAAAATATTACAGAAGTCACAGAAGGATTGTTTTACTGTATAAATCTTTTTGTGAACTATGTTGACAAATGACTTAAAATATTCTCGAAAATATCCAATATTTTATACAGTGTAATATGTTAATAAAAAAAATTCCAGAGTGCATTTCATCATTTCATGTACACTCTACACGATACGGCAATATTAACTATAGGTAGTATAGACGTATAGTAATTTGTCGAACTCATGTATTAAATATGTGGGATATATATTTGCACAAATTTGGTATTTAAATCTATAATATATGGTATTTGACTACTTACCAGATGAGGATAAGATTCCATGTTGAAAATAACTTCGGAATAATATCGCAAGTAGAGAAAACAAGACAGCCAATTCAAGATAAATTGATAAAAATATCATGATATTTTTGAAAGAATAACACGACTACACGAGGCTAAAGTATGCCTGTTCGCAGGTTAGATGCGGGCACGATGTAAACAATTGATGTACACTGATCGGTGATTGGCTTAAATTTGCATAAATTGGCTGAATTATATAAGCCCATCGCTGAATGGCTATGTGTTAACATACGGTACGGTTAACAGTACGTTTGCGATAGCAATATATCTGCTTCGCAGATACAAAAATGCGGACTGAGTCCATGTTTTACAAAACGCGAACTCAGAATACAGTCGCTTGCAATTCGGTCGCTGATAAAACATTGTGTATTCTCATCAGGGACGCTCCGCTTGGCATGGGGCAATTTGCCCTGGGCCCCCAGTTAAAGGGGGCCCCAAAATGTGCAAAAGGGGGCGCCCAAAAAGTGTCATTAAAAAAATTATTTGGTATTTTTTTTTATATAAGTAATAGTATGAGAAAAATTCTTAACATTTGTCCCATTAGGAAGGAAAAATCCTCCCGTATACCATTTAGGTTCAAAATAAAAAACAAATCATTTGAAAGTCACGCGCAATTTTCGAGACTGAGAAAACTTCTCGTGGACACATGACAGGGGGGTGTGTGAATATTTTCACGAATGTGTTCGCCACCACAGAAACATAACTGAATATATTGTATTTATTGTATTTTTATGATTTATAATAAAAACAATAAATATTTGCGTAGTTTTGTCATAAATCATAAAAATACAATAAATACAATATATTTAGTTATGTTTCTGTGGTGGCGAACATATTCGTGAAAATATTCAACCCCCCCTGTCATGTGTCCACGAGAAGTTTTCGCGAAGATTGCGCGTGACTTTCAAATGATTCGTTTTTTATTTTGAACCTAAATGGTATACGGGAGGATTTTTCCTTCCTAATGGGACAAATGTTGCCAATTTTTGATTGGGCCTATTCTACAATGAAGTGCTCTTGGATACTGTAATCTAAATACATATACATAGAAGACGAAGAAGTGGCATTTATCGGGCAGAGAAGCGACGAGCCATTAAATTGGCGGCAATTTGACGAAATATCGAAGGACACAATATCGAAGATAAAATAAACTGCACTGTTTCAAAACTTGATGAAACTTGGTTGAAATTTTCTTTAGCCATTTATCATTATTTAAAAGTACAACAACTGGATGATATTTACGAGACTTGGCGATGATAAGCAAAAAAGACGGCAAAATATGGCTGAAATTGTCTTTTCGTGGGGGTAAGTGAAATAAAATGTATTATATTTATAGAAAACAATGACAATCCTTATGAAATCTACAATAATTATATTAAATTAAGCCTAGTTTTTCATCCAATGATACTTTTTTCAGGAAATAAGAAAATTTAATTTCTGCCAGGTATAGAAGCTTCTTTTATGCATAATTAGCAGTTGATCTGTTGTGGGACATGGTCATTTTCTCGTAAAATATTATACTTAGACAAATTTTTCCTTGCAATAACCTCCCCTAAATTAAAGCAGCCCTTCTAAACTCTATATAAGCAGCACTTCAGAAAGGCTGTTGCTTTTCGGAAGTTAGAGCTATGTCGGCACTGCCGTTTCAGGGCGGGGTCATTTTCAGGACTTTCGTCTCGGATTCAGGTTTTGGCACATACGCCATGTTGACCGCGATGGTCATTTTACCCTAAAACAGTTGAGATTACCTGTGGTAAATGAAACGCATACAAACTCCTAGTCTCCTATACATGTTCTAGACTATTGGTAGAGCGTCAGCCCGGTTCGCTGGATATGCGAGTGCCGCTCGAGTTAACTTTATGTTGGCAACGCAGTGTTGGGTTTTGCTCATGAATATATTGTATTATGTTTTCCTGATGATTGCAAGCCACCATGCACGATCACGATCAAGAAAGTTCACACACACTGATTCTACAATCAAAGGACTGTGTGTATCGATCGACTTTTATTTCAATTTACCTTCTGAATCAATCTAGAACAATCTGAACAGGGGAGTTCAAGATTTTCCCGCCATTTTGAAGAGAACGCAAACGCATCAGATATTTTAGATTTAAACAAAACGGGTTTAAAGATCAGGGGCCGGTTGTATAAAAAAGTGATTAAAGTTAACTATAGTTAGTGGAAACGTCATCCAATAAGAAGCGCGTATTTGAGAGTTAATCACTATTTAACTACAAAATAGTGATTAAAAAGTAATTAAGAGTTTTATACAACCGGCCTCAGATTTTTAAACGAGCCTGCACAAATTCGACAGGAATCTGTGATAGGCTGACAGCGAAGGGCGCTTAAATACCTGACACCCCCCTCCACAAGGCAGCATCTGAAATACCTAATTAACACAGAGGACTTTACGAGTTCTATATTTTTTCCATTAACAAGGTAAGATAAGTCGAATTAAGAAAGTTTTGATAAATTTGGTTGCGATCGAATTAGTGCGAGTTTAGGTCTGAGAGCTGCAGCCCCTGGAATTAGTATAAGATTTGTATAATACATTAATTCACTGTAAACAGCGGATCAGTGCAATCATTCTTTATATACGGCCCCATTGACGTGGACTGGAAATTATTTGACTTTTATTTTAACGAAATGTATTGTAACGAATTCCAAAATACATGTGTACACGTTTAAGCATGCATTATATTATTTATATACTATTAATTATAAAACAATATAGAATATCAAGATCAATTATAAGTTTTTTTTGTTCCTTTTGAATTTTACGTTCTTAATTTACGTTTACTTCTAACGCTAACAATATTAAAAGAGACTGCACAATAAATTTTGATCCACAAAGCGTTCCAGTACCAGCCGAAAGTTTCAAAAGTGTAGCTTTGTAATTATTTTTAATGCTATACTGTGAGAATCATGTTAATAAATTTCAAGTTAATATTTGAAATTGTCCATAATTATTTAATGTTACGTTCGTCTTGGTATCTCTTTAGAAATTAGCTTCATTACTTCCGATATAAGTTGATATGCTTGCGAATATTCTGCTTGTAATAAGCATTTAACATATATTTGGCATCAGCTAGAGCTTTGTTGGGATCGACATCTGATGAAAAACATTTCTTACATGTGTTATACAACGGGCCGACGCAGGCAACACACGCCGGATCTGCAGGATCAACGCAGGCAGTGGCACATGCTGCCAAAACACCCGCACATTTAGTCCAGTCTCCTGTGTCACAATGAGTTTTCTCGCATATTTCGTTGCATCCACCATCACAATTACAGCAGAATATATTGCATGGGCCATTTCCACAGCAACCGACATCTGGTTTTCTCTTGCAGCACGTCGCTTCGAGACCGGCTACGAATCCCATTACAATAACCAATGCAAGGAAAAATTGAACATTCATGATGCTTGGTTGATCGACTTGTCTCAAATTAAAAAAGTTGTCAGTAGACAGGATCAAGGAAAACCTATCAATATTAAACAAATACCTTCATTAATATCAAAAAACAAAACGAGACAGTATTTCACTATTTAATTGACGTCGAGATAATATGCTTATGCATGTTAAAGATTGCAGCTGGTTTATCCCGGAGCCGGTGGCGCGAAGCGCCGTGCGAGGGTATTAATTCCGCACGGCTAATTATACCCGGGTATGTGAAAACATAGCGGAGTGCAAAGTTGTCCTCCATTTTGTTTATGTCATGGACGGTTTTCGACGTTATGTGCATGCGCGAGTACAAGCTCTGTCTAGGTAACTATTATTTTGCTGTTTTACAGCAATTTTTTGTTTTAAATATCGTTAAAAAGTTTACAATAGTACAACACGGTTTTTTCCTGATTTGGAAATAAGCCTGCAGTTTCATGAATTAGTCGCTGTTCAACCGTGAAACAAATTTTGTATAATAATTGTTTTGATGTTTTGATGTTGATATCTTTGATAATTTAATCGTTGTTGTGCTGGTGTGGGTAAGTGTAAACATTTCATGCAGTAGTAAAATTCCATGCCGTACTTGCTTTGTGTTGTCGGTTTTATTCATATCTGCGAAATTTTTAAGCCGTTCTTAACTCGATAATTCACTTTAATGCAAGCTGGTATGCATGAAGTTGCAGTGAATGTTATCGTTCATTATAAAGCTAGCGCATCAGTTGTGTATTTGTGTTTGTTTGTAATGGTCTTTATACTTTATGTGGAGTTTTTATACTTCATCTGTTAAGAAAGGCGAGGGGTTGTTGCATGCATGTATTTTTTAGTATTAAAGTTTGTATATTAAAGTTAATTCATGAACGTTTTCTATCACGAAGCGAGCTTCTGAAATGGAAAATCACAATCAACTACGTTGGAATTCGAATGATATAGTTTGTGCATTGGATTTGAGTAAGACACTCATGTAGGTAACAAATATAGCAACAAAGTTTCAATTGGGGGGGGGCGGACTTTATCTGTCGTTCAGAAAACTTACTGTTTGAATGACGCAGATAAAGTTCCCCCTCTCCCAATTTACACTTTGTTGTTATATTTGTTACCTACAGTATATTTATACCAAGACGTAGTATGCATTGCTGTTTTAAGAGAACTTGCCTGTAAGAATCACAAAATGTGTGGCAGATATGAAAAACTGAAAGTTCTTCAATTTCCCTCGATTTTATATATATATATATATATACGAGTAGGCCTATCCAACCCCACACATTTACTGAAGTTTCAGCCATGAAACAAAAAATTAAGAAAAGTTAAAGTACTTCAAAAATCGAACCAAAAATGACGCGAAATGCCAAGAAATTTCGCTACATAAAGCAGTAAACATCATGTGCTGTGCTGAGCGCGCATTATAAGTTTTGGTCTGCTGTTACAATATATGTTTTTAGAATATATGGAACTTTCTCGTGATATCTTTTCTCCACAAATCGAAACTTATTGACTTGGTTATTTTAGATCAAAGATGGTTGAAATTTCCGGGTTTTCCAAACTAGCCAAAGTACGTCTTGTGAATCGCCTATTTAAATATGGTCCTACTTTCTTTATAAATTTACATATGCATAATTTATTAGGGCTAGCATGTACTCATTCGACGACGATTTCAGATGTTGGGATTCTTTTGTGTCTTGGCGAAATTTGCAGTTAAGGCCCTGTCACACTATTGCGTATCGAACTAGCGTATACCAGCGTATAAAAAATATCACTCATACGCCGGTATACGGTGACATACGCTAGGGGTACGTGGCATACGCTGGCATACGGCGAGGCAGAAATTTTTTTTTAAGCATGTTCAAAAATTTTGTGCGTATCGGACGTATACTTTATACGATAAGCATACTCTATGCACACGCTGAATACGCCGGAGGAACGCCAGATGTACGCGATACTCATACGCTGGCATTTCAAAGGATTTTTGTGCGTATGAAAATTATTTCATTAATTTTCATACGCTTCTCATACGTTTCTCTCATACGCAATAGTGTGACAGGGCCTTTAAACATGTACAATATTAGCGTATGGGCAATTGCAGCTATAGACTAAATTTTGATCTAGGCAAGAAAAACAAAATCCATCCACCACAGCTAGAAAGAGCATGTTAAAATGAGTAAAATTGCAAAGTTTGGTTGCAAAATGTTGTGAAATGAGAAAAAAATATAGCCCTGCGAAATTTGCAAATTTTGTATAAGTCAGTACGCACGGGAATTTGCAACACGGCCCAAATGTGGTGCATTTTCCCGTGCATATTACAAATTAATACAAAATTTGCAAATTTCGTAGGGCTATTATTTTCCTCATTTTACAACATTTCGCTGCCAATCTTTGCAATTTCACTAATTTTAACATGCTCTCTCTATACACGCGTAAAAATTGAGAAAATCAACAACTTGTTCCAGGTTGATATCAACAGGCGTGAACAAGGTTGTGCGGCGCACTATGAACAGTATTGTCAACATGTTGTTACAGCGTTGTTCAACTGTAACAACTTGGTACAACATGGTTAACAACTTGTTCATAGTTGGCCGCACAACATTGTTCAAGCCTGTGCGTTTTTAGCTGTGTAGATGGATTTTGTTCTTTTTGTTCTTGATGGGTTTTGTTGGAACAACCTGTGCGTTTTTAACCATGTAGCTAGATGGATTTTGTTCTTGTTGCCTAGATCAAAATTTAGTATATAGCTGGAATTGTCCATTGAGTGGTTCGTATTAACTGGAGCGTGACACTGTGAATATTATTTGGCTTACATTTTATTTCAAAACGATTCTGTGTTTACTGTAGTCGTCACTGAGAACACACGCTTCACTTCTTAAATATCGGTCATGCATTTTTAAATTAACTCAAATTTACACTATGAAAAACACATTCATGCAGATATGCAAATACTATACAAATAAAAACGTTGTCGTTGAATGAAAACTCAGCTGTAAAAGGTTAGAATGCAGGATGGTAAGCGTGATCGTTTCCAGAGTGCCGCGACAAATTATGTCGTGGTTTAGTACGTAAAGAAAAACCAGTTCCAAGTTTGTTTACAAACGCACGCAGCGAGACTAATTGTCCACTGTAGTTTAATCTTGCAACTGAAACTGTCTGCTTACATTGGTTTGTTACAGTTCTTGAAGCATAAAGGTAAGTCCATTGTATTTTTCGTATTTCCTTAGCTTCATCTCGAAGTTTTAATTTAAATTACACAGAAATATTTAACTAAGTATTTTCCAAATCACTAAATGTAATGTAACTTCTACCGACAAAAATATTAATGGGAAGAACTGTTTCTGCTCTACCATCAGATTTGAACTAAGTTCATATTTTGTCGACAGGAGGGACAGCTCATTACAGGTATTGCAGAAATCACTTGAAACTGAACTGAACCATTTAGTACAGACATAAAAAATGGGCAGTCGCGAGACTGCACGTGCTACTGTTGTTTACAAAGTATATAATAATGCGCGGAAAGTATATTACATGTAACCAGACACAGTTCTATAATGCGGTGCCCTCGTGTCTTCTAGGGACAAAACAAAGTCATTTGGGCAAAATTTGATAAAAATTCGAGAGCAGACAGGCCAGAAAGAATTTCATGAGCTTCGGATCCTTTAGGTTTGCCCACAAACGTTTTATCTCACAACATTAAACGTTTTATCGCAACATTAAACGCAATAAACTCGCACAAACAAGTTACTAAATAATTATTAAAATATTCACTGTCGATACGTACCCAAGGACGTGGCTAGGAATCGTCAAAATTTCCTGCTTTTTCTCGCCCAAATTCGTTCTAGAGCGAAAGAAAAATACAAACTTGAGTTACCTGGAAATATTAAAAGTCATTATGAAGCACAATTGATGGGATTTATCGCTAAAATTTGGAGCAAACCAGTGAATATTTTGTTGCTTCAAAATGAAACTGAAAGAACTTAAATTGTATTCCCAAATGGCAAATGTTCTTTGCTGAAATGAATTTTAAAGTGAGCAATTTTGAATACGCGTTCAGCGCGGCACCCTTTTCTTGGGCAATATTTGATGAAAATTCTTCGAAGGAGACAGGATTTCGGGAGCTTCGGATGCTTTACGTTTACACACAAAGTTTTAACTCAACATTAAACGTTTTAGCTCAACATTAAACGCAATAAAATCGCACAAACAAGTTCACTTATTAAAATATTCACTGTCGATATGTACCTAAACACGTGGCTAGGAATTGTCAAAATTTCCTTCTTTTTCTCGCCCAAATTCGTTCTAAAGCGAAAGAAAATACAAACGTGAGTTACCTGGAAATATTAAAAGTCATTATTGAAGCACAATTGATGCGATTTATCGCTAAAATTTGAAGCAAAACCGGCGACCGGCTATGCTAAGTGTTCCATTAAATTTCAACAAAATGTATTGAAATGTCTAGATAAGTGCATTTAGTTGAACGCTTACTCTAAAATACCTTTATATACGTACTTTGAGAGCAATGTCTTGATAAATTCTTGTATAAGTTCTTTCGAGTTTTTGTGAATTCTTCTTAAACTTTCAATCCAACTTTCTTCTGTCAAGACTTGGCTACAACTGGGCGCCTTCGCCATAGAATAAAGATCCATATAGAAGGGCCACTCAGGGGTGCAACGTGTCCTCGTTTTTTTATGCAAAAATATGCAGTTTACTGGCCAGAAGGCGGAGCAGCCAGCCAGTACAGCGTGTTTATTGGCCAGAAAATGTCATTGACTGGCTAGGAAAATGGCGGCCAACATGCGTAATGCGACATGCGCGAGGACAGAAACTTCAAAGCTTCCGACGTAAGTGGCCCTTCTATATGGATCTTTATTCTATGCCTTCGCGCTGCTCCAAGTTATATGCTTCGAACTTGGCTTGCATGTGACTATGCGAATCTGATTGCTTAGCAAATTCTCTTCCTCTGATTGGTTGCAGTGTGCAAAGAAACAACTCTGATTGGTGCAATTGACAGTTTTAGTTGGTTTGATTTCCCACTGGGATATGGCTTATTCTTTTTGAGCGCCATGGAATTAAAGCAATTTACATACGTTCCAAATTTCCAAAGAGAAGAATTTAGGCTTGCTTGCAATACGTGCATGATAAGGCTAATATGTTTTTAAATAAAGGTTAATCTGTTTAAACAAAGGTTAATGTTTTTAAATAAAGTTGATCTTATCTTGTAACAAACCTGCAGAGGACTTGCAGCAATGCTGTTCCAACAACTTGTCAACAGGATGTCTTCGCACTGCTTATTCCCAGCATGTTGACAAGTTCATAGAATAAAGATCCATATAGAAGGGCCACTTACGTCGGAAGCTTTGAAGTTTCTGTCCTCGCGCATGTCGCATTACGCATGTTGGCCGCCATTTTCCTAGCCAGTCAATGACATTTTCTGGCCAATAAACACGCTGTACTGGCTGGCTGCTCCGCCTTCTGGCCAGTAAACTGCATATTTTTGCATAAAAAAACGAGGACACGTTGCACCCCTGAGTGGCCCTTCTATATGGATCTTTATTCTATGACAAGTTGCTACATGGCTGTTGAGCTCAGCGTTTCCACTTGGAAGGAAATTTCCTACCCGAAGGAAATTTTGGCCTTTGGAAGGAAATCTGGAAGGAAATAGCATTTGGAAGGAAATTGGGAGGAAATATTGTTATAAGGAGGGAAATGAGAAGGAAATTCTATTTTATCTCATAATTTGTAAGAATAAGGCAATTTTCATACAATTTTGTGCAAAAGAAGACTCTGAAAATGCCATTTCCAACGATCTAGAGACTCCGTATTTTCAAAATTTTCCACTCGGCACCAACCATGGTAGCCTGCGTGCAGGCCCAAGGGAACTGATAGTGGGCCTGCAACCATCGCCCGGTATTTTGTAAAACGCCCCTTTTCATAACACGCCCCATTCGCGCGTCAATTGTCAAAAAAGAACCAATGAACCAAAGAACCAATATTTGCACCCAAATATTAACAAACAAACTCGCATTAAAATGTTGCGGGGTTTTCTCTGCTTATTCAGAACGCTAATAAACAATGTGTAAATGGCTGCGTTTTAACTCCAAAAAAGCAAGCAACGCAGTCAGTAATTGCCAAATTTGCAAGTGCTCATTTTCAACTAAAATCGGAACAAGCAAATTAGGACGAATTTCAACAGAAAACCAGTCTCAAACTTCAAATCGTGAGGGAAGTCGTGCGACCACATTAGGATTTATATTATGTGTGCTTCGCTGTCGCCATTGGCATTGTTATAAATAAATTGTCTCACTTATCAGATCGTGTGTGCAATTCTTGTTGGCGGCGGAAAGTACGAAATTTATTTCATTTGGTAAAGAACTCTACAAAAGAAGAGAGCGTTCCAAGTCCAGATCGTTTCGTTTCAAACGGCAATTTAATACCGTCTTCTGTTTCGCTCTCTCAGCGAAGCCTTGTAAATCGCAAAGTGTTTCGAATAGGCTTACAGTCCTTACATGCAACTGCATCTCAACATCAACCAAAAGATAATCTTCTTGAGTTGAGGAAGTGAGAACACATAACGTATCAACTGAAGTCTGTTTGAAATTAATGAAACTCAAGTAAAGGTTACTATAGTTTACCCCAGTCGTAATTTGCTATTCCAACACCTCACGACAAGCAATCCCCATTGGCATAACGGCAAAAACATGTCTTCCTTCAAGTAAACAATAAACAGTCTGTTTTTGTTCCATTTGTAATCGAAAAAAGTGATCAATTTTCAAATTTTAAGCTTGTCGAGAGCCTTTGTCTATGCCTTTGTGATGAATCACTGTTCCCTTGGGCCTTCACGCGGGCTAGGTTAATTAATTACCGATCGCCTCAGCTAGCCAATGGGAATTTAGCCGGCGGTTCGGCCGGCGAAAATCGAAAACATGGGGGTGATGGTTGCAGGCCCATTATCAGTTCCCTTGGGCCTGCACGCAGGCTACAACCATGGTGGCGCCTCGTGGGTCCTCCCCAAAGCGACATCTCATGGATGTTTTTTTTACAAAGTTGGCAACTATGTATCTAGCACAGGACCCCAGAATCGCTATATTGAAACAACAACCAAACCTTGTACCCAGGGTATTATTTCTCAGACTCTACTTTTGGGGGGGGGGGTGGCTACTTAGTGTAGGCAGGAAAGACCCTAGGGGTTTCTTGTGTGTGTGTGTGTCCAGGGGAGAGATGCAAGAAACAGTTATGGAATCTCTTTTCGCACCACAGCAAGTAGATCCCAATTATTATGCTTTTTGTCCCCCGGGGGCGAAGATGAGCTGATTTTAACCGGCAGAATGCAGTTATCTGCCATAAATCAATATAATGTGTTTCAATACTAGAGTTTAGATGTTAATTACCAGGTAAATCTGTCAATTTTGATAAAAATTTTGAAGGAAAAATGGAAGGATTTTTAGAGATTTTTGGAAGGAAATTTTGTGGAAAAAAAGGAAATTTCGGGTTATGATAAAGAAAATTATTTTTCTGGGAGTGGAAACACTGGTTGAGCTCAACAAACGTGTTACAAGTTGTTCCAACAACTTGTTATCGTCCGGCTGCAGTGCGCAATTCCAGCTACAGACTAAATTTTGATCTAGGCAAGAAGAACAATATCCATCGCCTCAGCTAGAAAGAGCATGTTAAAATTAGTGAAAATGCAAAGTTTAATATCATTCTACAATTTCGCGCGAGCTTGAGGTCTTGAACGGATAAGCGGATCATTATGAAAACGTCTGACCAAGAAAAAGGCTAATGCCTTACTAGAATTAATGAATACGAATTATGTACTAAATCCAAAATTTTAAAGATAAATCACTGACAGACATTTCTCTGTTTGGCTAGTATCAAATGTTTACATTTGCTGATATTGGGCTCTACTCTCTAGTCCTAGACAATACAATACAATACTGTTTCTTTTAAAAATCTTATAAACAAGACGTGCAAAGCATAGCAACGTTTACAAAAAAGGACAAATCTAATGCATGCTTAAAAACATTAGATATGTAGAAATGGTGACCACTGAAAAGCCCATAAAAGTTTGTTATACAACCGCGCTCGAGTGAAGAGAGCATTGAATAATAATAACACGAGAAAGCACTGCGAGTAACGATTTGCTTGGTTTCTTGACTTGACTGTTGGTAAAAATGTAAGAATGTTCTTGTAAATTCAATGCAAATAAAATAAACAAAAATTAGCAAGTACTTTGAACTTACTGGTGATAGTTGGCAAAATTTATGTTTTTAACTATTTGTAATTTGATACTTTCACCACACCCCCCTCGGGCAATCAATTTTGGACGAGGCACGTGACCAGCCGATACCAGGGTCTTTCCTAAAGACCCTGGGAACGAGGTTGTTTTCGCATCTGCTAAACGCGAACCAATCAGCGTCGACTGCGATAAATAAACAGTCAACTGTCAAATTGACGCAAGGCGTGTACATTGTGCAACGAAGAAATACTGAATATTAAAATGTATACATAATGTATATATGAACAATAATACAAAGCATATAGCGGGCCGCACAATATATTACTCGGAAAATATAGAATTCTTCAAATATTAAATAGATATCAATACACATACAAATATAAAGCCGAATAAAATACTACCATTGGCTTTGAATGTACAGTAATACTTGTACTATGTGCGACTGAAAGAACAATGTTCTGAATATTTGAAGCTATTACTAAAATACGGTCAGATAGATTGGGATTTGGAATACCGAATACGTCTAAAATATTACTAACTGTGGTCTAAATAAATGATAAATGAGCATGTATTTATTAATTTCTTCGAAATCACGAGTGTCCCAATAGTGGAAGCCGTATCGACGACGAAATTGTCAGCAGTTGATACAGTAAATAGTACAACGTTTAATGTACGATATATATTTATCTAAATGACATGCCAGCGAGGATCAACAATATATAATTATTCGTACATATTTGGGTATCTTTTGTATGCCTTCGCTTGCTGACTTGCTCACTAATGAGAATAATCCGTGAAGCCACGACGACCTCAAAATGTACTATACTATAGTCTGATGTCAATCCGAAGACGAAGTTCAGAATACTGTTATAGTTTCGTATATTGGATTTAAGCGATAGATTCAAGTCATTTGTGATAGACTTTTTTGCTGTGATGCTTTGCTATTGCTTTTGGTTTCCATTTCTAGTTTTATTTGTTCGATAGTCTTATAATATATAATATTAAAATGAATAAAGTTCAAATTCTTCAAAATGCTGTTGTTGACATTTGCTATTTTCAGTAATTTTGTCAACGAGTGTAAGCCAATCAGAAGCCTGCGTTTCTATACGAACGCCACTACCAAGAAAACCTATAGTTCCGTGCAGGCCCTCTATTCTTCGCGCCGCCCGTAACCCAGGGCCTGTTCGCAGGCTATGGGAAGGCACTTAAGTAAAGTTACTAATAAGTAAAATAACTTACAAGTTCCACGCTGCATTCCTTCACCGTGACGTCATAAAACATGAACGTTTCTACTGGCTTTCGACTGTCTTTTCAACTTCCGGAAAAGACACTCTACTGATTTCGGTAATATTACGCACGGGAATTTGCACCACAATTGGGCCGAAAGTGGTG